ATACTAAACTTTACACATTATATAGGCTACACTAACGTGAAGTTTAGGCGGTTGGTTTAACTGTTAGACGTAATGTACGTTTTTGGGGGGTGGTTAATGAAAGTGTTCCAAAACGCGACATTAATTTCTTGACGACCTAATACAAAAGGCTGTGTTGTTCGTTGCTTCTTAGAGCAGATTTAAATTTCAAACAGCTCGACCACAACTCTTTAGTAAATACAAGAAGAGAAACACTAATGGTTCTTTATATTAAAATGATGTGCAAACTCTGTTTTTAACTCATTAACATATAAGTCGTTCTTAATTTAACCATTGAAATTATATAACCATCACTATAAATTTATCTCAATTTATTCATTACGTTAAAGATATTTTCTTTTAAATAAGACACGTGTAATAATTTTCTATTTAATCTTAACGACTGTGCGTGAAATTTGAGCAATAAAACCACCCTTCCCAACGAAATAATTTCACATCTATAAGTGCTTTGTAGTTATTTAATTTCTTGTTTAACTTATTTCTCCTTCTCATTCACCTGACTGAGATTATAAGATGAAACCGGAAGTTAGATAACTATAAACGAACAGTAAATTATAATCATAAGTGTATTTTTCGTATTGCTATGCCCTTCATTGGTTCGGCGGTAAATTTGTGGGCTTATAACGCTAACAAATCTGGTTTCGATACCTTTTGTGGGAACAGTACAGTTAGCCCATTGTCGTATTGCTATGCCCTTCATTGGCTGGGCGGTAAATCTGTGGGCTTATAACGCTAACAAATCTTGTTTCGATACCTGTTGTGGGAACAGCACGGATAGCCCATTGTCGTATTGCTATGCCCTTCATTGGCTCGGCGGTAAATCTGTGGGCTTATAACGCTAACAAATCTGGTTTCGATACCTTTAGTGGGAACAGCACAGTTAGCCCATTGTCGTATTGCTATGCCCTTCATTGGCTCGGCGGTAAATCTGTGGGCTTATAACGCTAACAAATCTGGTTTCGATACCTGTTGTGGGAACAGCACAGATAGCCCATTGTGCAGTTTTGTGCTTAGCTACAAACAAACATATTTTAACATTCGAATCTTCAGGGATCGGAGCCGTTACCTCTGTCACACCAAGCCATCGCTCTACCATCTGTGTATTAATGGTTGCTACTAGTAAGGTATTTCTTTAACAACTGAAAATCTTCTATATAAGATTGTTGTTTTGTTCACGTTAATCGTTACACCAATTATAGCAATAATTCAGGACTACACACAGATGGAACAAGATCATGATAGTCTTCTTCTAACAGAATCCGAACTTCTTACAAATTGTTATTATAAAACATATTAACTGCAGGTGTTATTCTCTCCTCAACAATCCTCTTAATTTGTCCATTGCAGCTCGAAATAACATTTCAGATCTATCTTTTGCCTCCTAATCTGCACTTAACTTGTCTTTATAATAACTTTGAGGCCTATTGGTTCCCAATATTTTTCTGGCTTTCGGAGTTTAAAACCGTGATTTTTTACAAATTCGATTGTTGTATCTTTCACCTAAATTAAGCATGATCAAACCAACAATCTAAAATTATACCAACTGGACTGTTCGCATCTCTAAGTTGGACGTACTGGTGACAACAATCTAAAATTATACCAACTGGACTGTTCGCATCTCTAAGTTGGACGTACTGGTGACAACAATCTAAAATTATACCAACTGGACTGTTCGCATCTCTAAGTTGGACGTACTGGTGACAACAATCTAA